TTCGACGTGACTTTAATTCGCAGTGTAAAGGCTTTGCATGTTTCAAGATTGTCAATCATTTGTCGCTTAAAGTTTTCATTTAAAGATGTTATTCCGAAATCGCTGAGAATCTCTTCTACGACAGTTTTCTCTCCCGCCATTTTTAGTGCTTGCGGAACGCGGAAAATACGTTATGCTCATATATAAAGGCCGAGGATACCCGTGTTCGCATATCGACATAATGTAGAAGAGTGCGCACAGTAAGGCATGAACTTTTCACATCAGTTAATGAAAACTAAGATTGTCATGAAAAGTAAACATAACGAAATGCAAGTTGACGAAATAAAATTGTAGTATGTGTAAATGTCATAAAGAGTTGACTTAATGTGAAGGAAAGTTGACACGATGCAATAGTAGTTTTGGTTATGTCATAAAGAGTTGACATAATGTAATGGAAAGTTGACACAGTGCAATAGTAGTGTGGGTTAATGTCATAAAGAGTTGACATAATGTAATGAAAGGTTAACAATGCAATAGTAGTGTTCTGCTATAAGGCAGTGACGGCGTTCCATATGCTTAACCTAAAGTGTTTTTGAATTCAAACCAGGTTTGGAAATTGATATTTTGGATACTAGTATTTGGAAGTAAATATATAACCACCTGGCACGTAAAATATCAAAATCGTACAAAAAAAAAAACCTGGAAAACGTCAGATATTATACACCTGTTTACTGGCTATGAGGACAATAGCAAGTTTATCGTCCCCCAAGACAGCAAACTATTTCCCGAGGCGCAGCCGAGGGAAATAGTTTGCTGTCGAGGGGGACGATAAACTTGCTATTGTCCGAATAGTCAGTAAATAGGTGTTTTATTATACCGATGCTGACCTAACTTTTGTTAACTTTTTGGAGTCCAGGGTACACACAATTATGATATTCCATATTATACCGATGCTGACTTAACTTTTTGTTACGTCATAATACATACGCGTCACAATCCGTATAAAACCAGAAGTTTTCCGAGATGAAAAGCGAGGGAAACAGAATGCTGCCGGTGAATAGTTTGATGACTATTTCACCATGGGCAGATAGCACAAAAACTATTTCAGTAGGGGCTGTTTGGAAAAGATAGCATGTTTATTCGTCATGTTTTTATATTGAACAAATTCACAGAGGTATAATAATTCAGACTATTCCCAGACTAGTCCCGATTTTTTGTTGACTTCCATGATAACAGAAGACTTGTTTGGAGAGCAAAGGGGGGAAGATGTGCCGATTGTTGTATTTCTGAGCATAACCGACTTGTTGGAGGTTCGGAGATGATTTGGACAGGCATTAAGTGTTATCTCAAAACTGATCTGCACTTTATTCACTCTAAAAAAAGTTTTACTTGTTGTTTTTAAAATAAGATATTAGATTAAGAAAAACTAGTAATTATTAGTAATCCATTTAGTCAGAATAGCAAGTAAATGACTATCATGGTTAGTAATTGTAAACATAATTAGTAATAAGGATGAATTCATTTACCTTTAAAATGATTTACTAAGTATCAATAGAATTACTTAAACTATAGGAATTATATTACTTTAAGTTAGTAAATGAACTACTCATTTTTGTTAAATTATTATTACTTAATTTAGAGATAATATGCTTTCTATTTACTAAATTTTATGAATTATTACTAAGTAAATGTAATTCTGAAATTAATTAAAATCTAGAATATTATTACTCAAAAGAATACTAAGTAAATGAAAAACTGCAATGCAAGGTACCCAGCCTCTTATATGTGAGTACTACTCAAAGATTTCTTTATCAGAGATCCCTAACTGGGCCCTGTAGATAGTTTAATAGAAGAAATCTACTTATGATGGAAACAATAATACTTTCAATTTCTTTTGCCAATTTCTTTGTAATTCTTTTATTATATATTACAATAAAACATTTGATTCAAACTTCGAAAGCCTTAAAAATTGAATAAGTTGTATCTTTTTAAGGACCATTTTAAAAATGGTTAAACATTTGAAGTACTTAATATCGCATTTTTATTAGTGTGACTTTTTTTTCACATGAAGGAATATTTAGAAGAAAGATAACTCCTCCTCACAGACAATTAATATGACAGCCAAGAATTCAATCCCAATAGTGATAAGACTACCATATTTAAGTAATTACTGCTCTGAATTCTTGATTTAGTAAATAATTTTTTGTTTTAAGTAAATAAATTAAATACAATTTAAACAAGATGTGTTTGTGAAACACCTACGCCCCCGTATGGTAACATAGCAAAGGTTAAACTTTTCTTATATGCAAATTTAAATTATTGGTATTTCTTGATATCTCCAAGGTCAAAATGTCAAGGTTATTGGTATCTAATGAAAGGTCCTGTCACAAAAAATACATAATTATGTGAAATATGGAAACACTTGCATCAACCCTTCAGAAGTTATGGTCAAGGTTATCAATTCTGAAATGTAAGTGAAACTCCAAGGTCAAGGACAAAGGGACAGATTTGGTGATACCCAAAGAAAGGTCATGTCACAAGGATGAACTATGTAAAGTATGAATGCACTAACCCTAATCCTTTTAAAGTTACAGTCAAGGTTTGCTTTTTAAAAGTGGTCAAACTCCAAGGTCAAGGTCAAAGTTCTTGGTATCCTATGAATGGTCTTCTCAAAATGATTACATACATGTAAGTATGAAAGCACTATTTCTTATCGTTCAAAAGTTATGGCCCAGGTTAAGGTTTTTTTTACAAGGATGGAAATCTCCAAGGTCAAGGTCAAAAGTTCATAGTTGTTGGTATTCAATGAAGTTTCTTTCAATAAAAAATATATATGTGAAGTATAAATGTATATAAACTGGTATTTACTGTTCAAAAGATTTGGATAAAGAATAAGTTTGGATTTTTTGTGTATAAGTGAGTCAAACTTCAAGGTCAAGGTCAAATTTGGTGATACTCAGAGAAAGGTCTTGTCACAAGAAATACACATGTGAAATATGAAAGTCATAGCTCCGCTAAATCAAAAGTTATGGGCAAGGTTAAAGTTTCTGCGGATAAACAGACAAACAGAGAGACAGCTAGACAGGCAGCTAGACAGACAGACGGACACGACAAAAACTATATACAGTACTGTACCCCCGAAACTTCGTTTACGGGGGCATTAAAATATTAATTATATATATATAGTAAATAGTGGTAAAATGTAAGTAAAGACCAAGTAATGGTATTACTTATATACACAAATTTAAGTAAATATAAATTACTAAGTAAAACTTTTTAGTGTGTAAGTAAAACATTTCTTTAAAATAAAAAAATCAAGTAAAACATTTGAATCTAGTAATTGACATATATTTCAGTAATTGATTTAAAATTTTAAGTAAATGCTTAGTAATTATCTATTACTTATCTTTGTTATTTCAAGTAAAAAATGACTACTAAGTAAAAGTTTTTTAAGAGTGTTGGAAGCACCCTGGCAGCTTTAAAATACCGGGTTGATATTCTTCATCCTTTTGTTAGACCAATTGCAGGTACTGTGGGGGAGGATTGGATCTTAATGGACTCACAGAGCCCGAATCGAAATGAGGACCTGAAAAGTGAAAAAATTCAGTGCATGGACTTGCCAAGTCGTTCTCCAGATCTGAACCCAATTAACTATGCATGGGACATTCCTTAGCAACGCATTTCAGCTTGTTCAACAGTGAACACGTGCACTTCCGGCAAATCTACAAAATTAAATATATTTAATTTGATAATCCTGGACTTTTTTTGCATACAGTACAATGTATATTTTATAAGAAATTATTCCCTTCTTTTTGTGCTCAATATATATATGCAATATGAACGACTTTAGTTAAATTTTCATCTTCTATACAATCAGTTAGGCAAAAGGAAATTAATTAACTTTTAGTTGCATCAAACAATCCTACGGACCTACTTCCATTAATTCATAAAAAATCTATTAATATTTTTATACATTCTGCGAGGAATAATGTTCTTAGTGTTCATGCATTTATCAGGGTTCTGTCAAGAAATATACAATGGTATCTTATGCCTACATGTATCAACTAATTTTTATAATCCAGTGATTTTACTTTTATATTCTGCAAAGCAATACGAAAGTGAAAGGTACGATCGCATCCTTTAGAATTAACGTAAGGCATTTCAGATTGTGCATGCATGTACATAATGTATATCCCCTCATCTATCATTCTTTCATTGCACGAAACATATGTGTTTAATTCCATAAATCACAGTCAGCATCATGCAAACGTCCTAGGGAGTGTGTTTGAAATATTTAACGTAGACAGCGCTGTATCTCTTTCTCACATTTTGTAAGCTCATACGTATATAAGAAATAGCTTTAATTTTATTTTGAAAAAAAAAGGTTGAACTGTCATCTTCTGTAGAACATTCACTATACAAAATGATTGTTTCAGAAACATATTTTTTTTTTAAAGAGAAAGAACTTTATTTTCCTTTTGATTTTAGATGTCATTCTGGTTACAACAAGTCACTGAGACTTATGGAATTAATTCGCTATATCAGTAATTCGTTTTATCCGTATAAGGAATTTGTTAAATTTATATACATGAGGATCCAAGATGATTTCGCTATATCCGTGAATTCGCAATATCCGTGTGCGTACTAAACAAATTTTACTGTATAGCATTGTCTTTACTAGTACTGTAAGTAGCAAAAGAGCTTACATCTTTTAAGGTTGCATGGCCGTAAGGGGGGGGGGGGGGGGGGGGGGGGGGGGGGCAAGGGGCGTCCTCCAAATAATTTTGACGATATATAGAGTACTACAGAAAACACAGCTACTGTGTGCTTGTGCCCCCTTAGTAAAACGTTTGATGACTTTTTTTTGCTCGTTAAGCAATTTTTGGTACTTGAAAGCTGAAAATGTTTGGCTGTGCCCCTCCCCCCAAACTGAAATCAACCACACTCATCTAATAGTAACTTACATTAGTGCTAGATTATTATATTCTATGTTATATGCCAAAAAAAGGTCCTAAAATTACAAATCATTCACAAGAACAAGAACCTGATTGGTAAGATAAATGTGGATCATAGGTTTAAATGTTAAGTTTTATAAAAATATAGACTGAGAACTTGACCTGAAAGGCCAGGCAAGTAACCATGCAGTTACTAAAAATTGACAACCCTACTATGGAATGTCACATTGTCTGATTTTATTTTAATATATACATAACAAACTTTACTTGTAAAACAAAGTCCACAGTGGTAGTCATTAGGATTACATTTTATCATTCATAAAGTTTTATGCAAGCCGCACTTGTAAAACAGAGTTCCATCACATCATTTAGACCCACTATAAAAATATTAAAAAGAAAATCGGATTTTTTCCACATTATGTTAATTTTTTGGGGGTTTAATATTTTCATCTGGGAATTAAATAATGATATAAATGTACAAAAGCTACAGAACAGTTAATGTACTCTGGGCCAATGCTCAGTAATAAAACCTACACTCTTATGTGTATACACTAGTACAGTTACAGAAAGACACATATGGAGGGATAAACAGGAAGTTGACATCGAAGTTGTACAAAAATGAATCCCATCATATGGCATGCCTAAATAAAGACTGTGCTAAACCTTGAATTTGCAATTAGTAATTGCTGAGAAAAATGCAACAAAAATTTGTTATTTGGACAGACAGACAAAAACACAAGTGTAAAACAGTATCCCCCCTCCTTTGTGGAGTGGGTATAAAAATTACTATACAGTTTATCATGGTTCTGCACTTCTGTTATGTCATCCCTAAAGATTTCCCTCCTGTCCACACAACAACAGTCAGACAGGGGGAGCAGGGAATAAAAATTGTAAAAATTGATTCCACATACATGTGTACATACTGATTAAATCATAAAAATAATTGAAACAAAATGTAAATATATTGGTCCCTCAATGTGTATAAAATATAATTCTGAAGAGATTGAAAAAAAAAAATCATCATTCATTCTGTTAAAACATTGTATCACAGATTGTAAGGAAAGGTCTGAAAACTCAGCCTATTATAGACCTAAGTCAAACAAAATGGCTGGTTCAACAGATCGTGTTCAGCTAGACAGGTCAAATTCTCCATCAAATTCTTCCATCAAAGACTTTAAACTGTAAATAAATAAATTGAAAAAATACTCCAGCTGAAATTTTCATTCAATAAAAAATCACAAAACAATAACAAATTTTTGTGTTGACATTTTTTTTCTAAAAGATTAACCTAAATTTGGAGAAAATTATATTTCCAATGTATATTTACTGGGTTGAAAAGGCTTTGTGTACTTTTAGAAGGGTTTAATTTATATGTTTTCACATGAATAAATTATTGTTTCAAGATTTCTCATTACAAAAAGGTGTTTATATAATAAAGCAATATTAGCTGCAACTTGGACGTCAAAATTTTCTGTTGTGAAATTGTCATTAACTATTTCAAGGACAGAGAAAAAGAACATTTATAAACTTCTATTGTTCATATTTGTAAAAGTATTTACTGTAACAAGCTTTTAATGATGCAAAATTACATTATTGTCATCTTGTACAATATACTTTTCTTATATATTAAATACTTGATTGTACAGATGTCTTTCTTTTGAAACAAAATTACTTACAAAATTTAACATAATGACACATTTTAAAAGCAAAATAAAATTATAAAATTCTCAAAAATGCAGCTCATATTGTTTCACAATTTTGTCTGGTATAAAAAGTTCATTGAATAAAAACAACTAAAAAACAAGTTTTTAACTTGTGAACTGATAAAAGTTCAGTGATGCTAAGTATAGAATTGATGCACTACCTGAAGGTAGTTTCAGAAACTTTCAAAAATCTACTTCTACTAGTATAGTACCAACATCATCACTTTCCTTTTGCACGGTATCTCAAAATATATAAATACTCCCTGCTTTCTTATATCAAAAATGTAAACTTTACACATTGCAATTAGCCATAATCCATTGGACTGAATGAGGCCCAACAATATTGAAAAAATACCGATTGATGCAAATAGTTTTGGAAAAGCTATTTCACTTGCTACCAACTTCCACTCAGATGAACTTAACATTAGGTAATGTATAGTTTGGGGTGGGGTGCTGTAAATACTCATTGAAAGGCTGGTCCCCCAAAAAATGCACCTTTAACTCCCACCCCAACCCTCAAAACAAAATTTGATGTGAAGAAAATTTTCTCCTCCTGGGTGCCACTCAAAATTTTTTTCAGCCATCATTTCCCCCCCAGAATATGCCAACCCCCCTCCCTTTCCAAATTATTCCTATAAAAAAAAGCCCAACATCATTCCTCTTTTTTTCATAGGAAATAAAGTACATGTAGATTTTGAAAAATTAAATGACTATAACTGGACATTTTCATTTAACCTTGCTTTTCTCATTGTATTTGGCTAGGACTTCAGCAAATGTAAAGAAGTAAGATGGCATGAGCTTGTTTCATTTAATCATTGAATCATATTATACATGTAAAACAATTATTGCTGTATTTTCAGTAAATACGATGATTTACTAGTAGCTATTTTAGAAGTAAGTTATACGAAAATTGTACTCTTCAGGTGGCTAAATCATAGTATTGACCTCAAAACAACAATAATGATATAATATTAATTCTAACCTTCTAATCATAGAAATATAGGTGGTATTCATATATCACACTAAAACAATGAAAGTGTGACATGCAATTCTAGAGATATTAAATTAATTAATTACCTGTCCATGTGGCCCCTAGATTCCTGGGCTATCTGCTTTGTCTCATTCATGTCCTTACTAATGTCTGACACACTGGAAGTCAAATATAGAAGTTTCAATTCAAACATAATCCTGTCAATACAACAGAAGACCTCCAACTGTCTGTTTAAGGTTTATGCTCCTTTATTTTCTTTATTTTTATTACATACAAAAAATTTCTAAAATGGGCCAAGCTACTGATAAACAAGTTGATGATAGATGGATGTCAAAATCCCTTTTGAAGTCAACATTTAAAAGTTGCAAAATCTAAGGTGGATTCAATGACTTTGTTTGCCAAAAAAACCTTCAATGACCTTAAAAAAACTATCAAAATCTATCATAAGGTCAAATGTTGACTGACACCTTTCAAACAAATTGTTGCACCATTAATTTCCTATTTATTGTCTATTTTTCCATTCATCACATCATATCAAAGGACAACTTTGAATGTGTGACAGATAAACAAGGGATGCTCATTCCTCCCTGCAGGGCTTTCAAAAAGATTTGAACCAGGTGGTACTTTATCAAAAATAGGAGGTACCACTTGGCGAATGCCGAAGGCGTGAGCCTGCTAGGGGGGTCCGGGGGTATGCCCCCCTGGAAAAATTTTGAAATTTAGAAGCCACCAGACAGCATTTTCTGGTTTCTAGACACACAGAAGTATGCTGCTATCAGTGTTATTTTTATGCCATGTTTCAAAGTTTTTTTTTGGTCAATACACATTACATGTGAAGTTTAGCACTGGATGGGTGGAATTACATAGAAAAATTAGTTATTTGAGCAGAGTAACAATAAGATTTAGGTAAAACTTCTAAGTTCTATGCTATATTTGTTTATATAAATTTGTTCAAAAATATTTTGCAAGGTTTGAGTTGTAAGTGTTGTTTTAAATATAAAAAAAATTATTGAGTCACGAAAGGAAATGAAAATTCAAAATTTAATTTTAATAAAAGAGAAATGAAATTGTATTTGCATTAAATTAAATTCATTTCTGTTCTACAGTAAAGATCAGATTAAAAAAAAAATTAGAAGAAGCACTACATGATGCATAGCATGAACCAATAAATTCAGCATATTTTTCATGCACTGGTACATGTACATATAAAATAATATACATGTGTAAATTAGACAAAGATGACATCAAGACTGGAGACAAAATTTTTTTTAGATACGACTCCCTCACTTTACTGGATATGGTTACAATATTGGGAAGAAAGTAAACCTCCGCAAGGTAATTCTCTTGACCACTAGAAAACTGCTGAATCAAAGGATTAAATGTGTGGCAAAAGAAATAGTTTCTGTTTTATGTCCTTTTGTTTCATCATAAATTTGCAGATATTTAAGACTGTAAGTAATTTATATCGTCAGCTGCGGATTTTGACACTTAAATTTGAAGAGTTGAGGCTATTAAAATGTACAGAGGTGGTCAAAGAACTGTCTATATCTGTCGGGCAGTTGTGTTGAAGACTTTCCGCGGTCTAGTTCCTTGTGTCTTAAAATCTTTTGTGAAACTCATCACCGTTGCTTTAAATTGACACTTTCATTTCTGATACCTGGATTCCTATTTTTTATTTTTTTTTGGGCCGTATTTATTTAAAATATATTCATAGTCATTTTGTCAAAATCAGTGAGGATGGAATTTGATATCGAAATCTACTTTCGTTTTCGAAAAGATCTATAAGACGCGTTACGCAATCTCTTTTGTTTCATTTATTCAAACGCTTTAATGATCTTCTTGACTAACCAATCAAAAAGTTATTAGATACCATTACGGACTAAGAATAATACAAAGCTACGTAACCACAACTTTTGTAAAACATGGTAGGGCCTATCGTATTTTCACGCGATTTTTTTTCTCCACTGAATATTCTGGCCGGTACCGTGAATGAATCCAACCGGGTAAAAGTACCGGGTACCGGCAGATTTTGAAAGGCCTGTCCTAGGCAGCAGATCCCATGTAAATAATAATACATGTATAATTACCCTTTCTTCACTTGCTGTGCTAGATGTCTCTGTTTCATGGATGGCTTATATATGGAAGGCAGAGGTGGAGATTCCTTCAGTCCCTAGACAAAACAGATTAAACTTGATAATGAACTAAATAGATCAGAGTTAGAGAGATGTATATGCTGTTTTACTTTATGACACTAATCTCTTCAGAGTGAGACTGACCTTGACCTCACTAACCACTTCCTGTAGTTGTCTGGTAATGTCTGCCATAGCAGCGTCCACTTCTTCATGTTCCTCCAAAACTTTTATATAGGCACTGTCAAAATGTATAGATATGTCACAAGGAATGTGGAGTGGGCACATAATCTAGTGCACATTTTGAATAGTGATCATCTTAAAACTATCAACTATAACATCATAATAGCTGGGTTTTTATATCAGTTATTAAATTTGGCATTTCGCTTGCTCGAAGGTACATGTATGTGTTAAATGTGAAGAAGGACTAAAAAACAATAATATATACATTGAAAAAGCTCAAATCAGGAAAGACTTGTAATAAGTTATATAAATTGACTCACAAAGAGGAATTAAGTAAACTGATGAAAGTTATCTTTCCTGCAATTATATTAGCATAAAGAATGTTGCACTTTTGTAGACTACTAAGAAACTGCTAGAACTTTAAGTGCTATAAAAATGTAATTTATCCAAAATTAGCACCCTGCTAAAAAAATTCCACCATACAATATTTTGCAAGTTCCATACTTGATGCACATATACATATATAGTTGTATACTAATTTACTAAAGAGATATGATATAAACCTGTGCCATCTTCTAAATGTTGTAAATGTGGCAGCCATGGAATGCTGAACTTTCTTTAAGTAAGACACAGCTCGCTGGTAATGAAAGGATATTGATGTCCTGTCCCAAAAAAATTGTTTATAGATATTTATAGGATGTGATATACACATAACCTGATAAAATGAATATCAAAATAATGTTCCAAAAACTTTTTATTTCTTTTCAAAATTAAATGTTATTAATAATGATGACCCTCACTTGTCAAATGTGTAGAGTTTCTTGTCGTGGTAATTTAGTCGCGGTAATTTACGGTAATCCGAGAACTTCTGCAATATCTCCATCATTTGTTTGAATGTTCTCTCAACCATTGCCTTTCTGTACACAGAAGAAAAGTTTCTCTCAGTCTCAGATACAATAACATATAAATATATATAGTGTTCAATTGCAAGGAATTTGTTCAAGCTTTATTAATTTCAAAAGCAACTTCTGAGAAATATATCCAGTTAAAAATTACTTTGATTCAAGTAAAGAAATCATGCTCACATATTTTCCTGAGTAATGGAATTCATGATTTTGGTCAACTCATCCAGTTTCTTGTGTTTTTCTTTACAAACTTCCAGCAAAGATGTACAGGAATCTAGCTTATTGCTGATCTGAGAGACATAATGATCTTTTAACTTATTCTATGTCAAAATTGATAAAAAATTGAATCAAAATAATTGCACATTTTGTCCTTTTCATTGAAAATTACAAGAAATCCAAATAGTTCATGATCGATATCTCATAGCTGAAAAATGTATTTTCTTTGCTTCCAACCTGTATTTCATTAATTCAGATAATTCAATTTATACAGTTGGCTCATTTCAATTGACTATTGTGGGCATATAAAGGGAGAAATCTTTATCATTAATTTTACATTCATCAATGTTTGAAATGTTTGAATTTCAATTTTCAGTTTAAAAAAGTTGCTACATGCACTCGTACTATTTTATGCATGAAGGTTAAATGTATAGGTAAAACCATGAAGAACAAACCTGTTCAAAGTTGTCGTCAGCGATATCTCCGTCCTCTGTAATGGTAGTAAATAACGCTGTTGATTTCTTGTGATCCGTGTCTACGATTTGTTTGATGTCTGTGTATCGGTCCTCTAAGGTCCTCACACTGCTCCTCAGGGACTTATACTTCTGTCGTACTTCATATCTATAAAAAAAAAATACTTTTAATTCTATCATCAAAAGATATGTTTTCTTTGCTTAAAAACATCAACATTTCAAATATATGCAAAGCTTTGAAAGCAGTGCTTAAATTTTTCAAAACAAATATTGTATACTATATACATATACATGTACAATTTTTGTTGTTTTTTCAAATTGTGAATCACCTTAGATTTGTCTTATTACAAAAATTAAGGGAATTATTTTTTTGGTATTACTTTCATTAAAAACTTCTCTCACTATCGCCACAACCAAATATTCCATTCACTATCCCATATCAAATTTCCCGATTCACTTCTCTGGAAAAATGTTGATCAAATCTTTGCATAAGTTTTTCAAAAACCAAAGCTCACAGACATACATGCAGATTTAGTTACAATGATATAAGGAGTCCCCCTCCAATACCTGCAGTCCCGTGACGTACTGCTCAGCAGCTGAAGAGCAGATGCAGCCTGTGTTACAGCTTTATATATCATGGCCGTGGTGACACACATAGAGCGAGCTGTACGGTAGTCATCATCTCGAGTCGACACGTCATCACTCGCGAACTCCACAGTCAGTTCTGTAATAAATGTAAAACTTTAATATTTTAGGTCTGAGAGACAAAAGTTTGTGTTATATACATGTATGTTTCTATGGATATGTCTAAGGAACACAAGACTTATGCTTCTTAAATGTAAGAAATTAATGTATTTCTCTGCATACACGGTTCTCACTAAAACAATCCTCTGAAATAAGTTGTAAATTAAAATGAAGTATAAGATTTATGGATATGTCTAAGGAACACAAGACATGCTTCTTAAATGTAAGAAATTAATGTATTTCTCTGCATACACGGTACTCACTAAAACAATCCTCTGAAATAAGTTGTAAATTAAAGTATAAGATTTATTTGGCCCATACAAGATATTTACATTAATTACCTTCAACAAGAGACACAATGAAGTCGGTGGGCGTTTTTGTAGTGAGGGATGTCCCCTCCTGTAGGGGGAGGGCTATTATTGGTTCATCAGCTGATGTCGCGGGATAGGACTCTACAGGGTCATCTAATGAGATGGATTCTCCCAGATCATGGTTATGAAGAAGAAAATAGGGTGATTTGATTTGTGTAAACGTCTGCTCCTGGCAACATTTCTGTAAGTCATCGAATCTGCAATAATTCAGGAAAAGTATTTGAATCAATAAATTTGAGTGTAAGTAAACTACAGTCAAACCTGGCTCTCTCATACTAGATGGGATTAAGAAATTTGTTTTTTGATAGACAATAAATTTGAGATATTGAGAGTAAAACAATTTAAAGAAAACATGCTTGGGACATCCGAATCACTTCAAGATATGTATTGTATTGACAATGTTTAAACTGTATATACAGTACATGTGTAATGTTAAAATCCCACAAGAACTCTTTACTTGCTATCTGGGTTCATGTAGATATGATAAAGCTGTGAGTCCACCACAGAGAACAGATGTAGCTTATGTTTCTGGAGGAGATCATCTGCAGCAACAAAAAATCCATCAAACGTCCACATCCTGTGTGTCTGGCACTCCAGAAGTCTCACTAGATACTCTGTCAATGTGTCCTTGAGGTATCTGTAAAAAAGTATGGCGGCACTCATGCAATGGGCTAAGAAAAGTTTCAACTTATAAATAATACTGCTACTCAAAAATATTTTTTGGCAGATGGAGTCAAAGTGACCTTTAATATAATAAACTCACTTTGAAAACAAGCAGGTTTTGGGCAGTTCTTTGAACCAGATAATGGACCCAGTTGCTGAGATCTGCTCTCCAGCAATAACACCCGGGTCCTTCTTTGAGATCATCTGAAACCTAAAAGCACAATAATGCTCATCAGTCTCAAAATTTATTTTTTCTTACTTTGTTAAAAATTAGTGAAATATGCAAGAATTAAGACAAAAATTTCTTTTAGAAGGAAATGTTGGTAAGCTTACATGGTATGTTTGTCCCCGCGCCCATGGTAGGGTTGGAAGGGGACCTTCCCAGTGGCGGCATGATACAGGGTGGCTCCCAGACTCCACAAATCAACAGAGATATCAAACTCTCGTGGACGATAGCGATCAATGAAGGCAGCTTTAAAAATGTCAGGATGCTGAAAAGTTTATCAAAACTATCAATTTAAGTTTCATTACACTGAACTTTGCAAAAATAATTCAAATTTCTCATCTAGTAAATCAATACATAAATACAACAGGATTAATTCTTGATTATCCATACCAGATACTCCTCCGTTCCTACGAGAGACTGGAAGAAATCTCCATCCTTCAGAGGTTTAGCAGTCCCAAAGTCTGATAGCTTGTAGACATGACTACAACAGGAAATGAATGAGCATAGAAGAATGTTAGCAGTCATACTTTTATCAAATATTAAGGTTTATAATATAATGATTTTAGACTAAATGCCTGAAGAATCTGTTAACCTTGATTAAATTTCATATACCATTACCTGCCATCGTCTGCAACATACACCAGAATGTTGCCTGGTTTTATGTCTCGGTGGGAAAATCCATTCTGGCGAAGATGTTTCATTCCAGACACTGAAATTTATTTTACAGGTTTATTGACAGATTGTGACTGAGAATATTTTATTAATCTCCTCTTTTGAATCAATATGATAGAACTTTGTTTGACTTCCTCAGCTTTTTCTTTTATGTCCATGCTAGCTCAAAAGTATTAAAATTTTATTACTCTTATTTGATTTTAACTAATTAAATTAAGCTTCCTATGACAGAACAAAGAATAAAATGAACATAAATAACACAAATTAATGTTAAAATTCTGCAATTATTCAGAATTAACTGAATAAAACAAACCCAGATGACGAAAAAATCGGAGGAATTCGTCCTCCTCCAGACCGTAGGAGTTAGCGGGGTCTCGCAGCAGCTCCAGGAGGTTCCCCTTCTCACACAGCTCCATAACAAGGATTGGTTTGGATGTCTCCTTCTGTTAGAAAAGTAACAAACTGTTATAATTATACAATGTAGCTTTACAAAATTAGTATTTCATTGACTACCCCTGTTCACTACTTTGCCTATTGTTACTAAAGCTAAAAGGAGATATTTAGCAATTTAAATAATGGGTGTGACCAGCAAAACTCAGTTAAAATTTGTTTTCCTTAATATTTAGATTTTGCTTTATTCTAAAATTGGTTAAACCATTTTAGAAAGAAAGCAAAAATGTTCAAAAATTTACCAACAACACATAATGAATAATTTAGTACAGATAGCAAATGTCATCTAGGGGAGTCAGGTGTCCTAATCATTGTATTAATGCCTTCTAAGGGGGTGGGGTGTTCTAACATTCAGTGTCTTTAGTTTGTTTGTCCTTACGTCGTGCTCCAGCTGATGGAACTTTGTGATGTTGGGATGCTGTAGCTGTCTCATGGCCTCTACCTCTCTCTGTAGCTGCTGGGTATAGCGGGGATCACACAGTTTTAACGCGCATTGTTCTCCAGTTACCTGTCAACATAAAAACATGAACATTACAAAAATCAGAAAAATTTGATATATTGTTGTACACTGTATCAAGCCGGGGTCCTGACTCCTGAGTCAACACGTTGTCATTTGACCCCTGGTACATTTCATTCAATATTCAAGGGCTGACTGTATAGGGGTGTGGCTAAAACGCAGAACGGAAAACGGAACGGAAAGCGGAACGGAAAATGGAAAATTTTTGTCAAACAAATAACATAGATTCGATATAAATCAGATAAAAGAGCAATATTCTTGTTGTAAAAATCATTTTTGATAAAAATTTATTGTAAACTATTATATATTCATGAGTCATACACAACTTCCGTGGAAAAAATGGTACTGAAAGAAATTCGACCCCCCCCCCCCCAACACACACGCACGAAATAGGATTTTCGTGTTTGGGCAAAGGACATATCCCCTTTTTTTGGTTTGTCAAATTTGTTGAATGTTGGAAAATTTTTACTGAGCCCCCCCCCCCCCCCTTCTTTCAGTTTGTTTCCAATGTCAATGTCTGTAAAGACAAAAATAACTATTTATGATATTCAGATTATGCATGTGCAGTGTCGAATTCGCAAATCATGAAAGGGGGAGTGGCAGTTTTGGGTCTATGTAGGGGCCCACAGTCACATTAAAAATTGATTTATTAAACCTTATGTATATTTTTGACACAAAAAGGGGGGCATACCTATTAGAACTTCTCAGACCTTTCCGATGAGTGGGAAAACAAACTCATTTTTTACGGGGTCATTCGGGGTCATTCATATACACCCCCCCCCCCCCCCAAACATACACACATATGTACCGCAAACAAAATTTAACTTCATTGAATGACATGAAAGTTTTCCAACTTTGTCTTTCCAGAATTTAAATATATAGAAAATGTCTCTATTTTGAATAAAATTTTAACAACCAGTGTGTATAAGAGATGTTTCTTCGAGCTTGCCGTAAAGGTTTGCCCTAAACGTATTATCTTAATAATTTTTTTTACATTTTATTTCTCTTTCATGGTTCATTTAGATATCAAATATTTGGTCCCCCAGTCATAACCTTTTTACTATGGAAATGTTCGTTTAAGTTGACATCCTCACACTTTTTGTGAATGTAATTAATGTAGTAAGTTATTGTAAAAAAATAGTACTGAAAGATGTTGGAATTGGAACCTATCCCCCCCCCCCGAATCAAACAATTGTTTTCTTTTTATGTGTTATCCCCCCCCCCCCCCCCTCCGGAATCAAACAATTGTTTCTTTTTGTTTTTTTTGCTTGTCAAATACTTTTCAAGTTCGTTTATCACCCCTTTTCAAATTCGATTCTAGGTGACTGCTATATGTTAGTGATTTTCGTAAAAAAAGAGACTGAGCATGATAAAATCAACTTGTATTTAATAGGGGGGATTGAATATGTACAAAATATATCGTTTATGATAAATTTTGTGTATTTTAAGTGCTTTAATCCAAAATAATATATTCCGTTTTCCGTTCCGTTCCGCTTTCCGTTCCGTTTTCCGTTCCGCGTTTTAACAACACCAACTGTATAGTGACGTCTTTTGGAAAAATTACAAATCTTGATTGTTTTTCTTATCTCTCAACCAATCAATTCAATCCATTCTATGATAAACAATTTATAACATGTGCATTTAAGCCAATAAGGTGTCAACTGAATCCTTATTTAACTATTTTTGAAAGTGCTTCTCAATGAGAGAAGCAAGCCCATAGTTATTTTATGATATATGCCAGGGGACCTCTGGCATTGCAAGGATGGGGTGTCCTATATTGTGGAGAGGAGTGCTTGTGAATATCCATTCAAACCTGACTATATATATATAGCCATCAATGGAGAATAAAATTCTCGAAAATTGAAGTAAATGTCCTTTTTTTTTTTATAAGTCTCCTATCTACATTGTCAAAGTATTTTATTATACCACGGTTCAGATTTCACATAAATGAAAATGAAAGTAGAATCAGAGAATCATCTGACTGGTCCCTACCTTATGGACTCCCCTGTACACATCCCCTGTGGCACCCCGTCCAAGACATTCATCTGTTTTATATACATAATTCTCAGTAGCACGATACACATTCATTTTATCATAATTTAAAGGTATAATTCAGTCTTAAATTGTCTGTCCTCCATCTTTCAATAAAGGGAAATTACTTCTACCGATAATGTCTTAAAATAGAAAGTGGGGATTTCCCAAAATTGCGATGAGATTTATAGTACTAAATTTTAAAACGATTTCTGCGATTATATTAAAGGCTGAGGTTAATTTACACCCTCCACGACATACGTAAAACTGCAAATTCTTCTTCGATTGTTTTCAAGCCTTTATTTTTTGGAATAAAAATGGAATAAAAAATTAATTTAAGGTCTCATTTTAAACATGTAAAATGATATCCTGAAGAGAATGGTGGAGAAGACAAAGTTTTGTTGACGCCCTTTCTTCCAAATTTCCTTTACATCTCAGTTGACATTAACTCGGGGATGGGTGATGTATGTAGATGAATATTTTCCCAACTACCCCCCCCCCCCCCGAATCTCGATCTAAGTCTCTTTAAATATTTTGAATTGAATTGAATTAAAAGTAGAATCCCCCCAATAGGGAAAATATCACTATAAAGTCATTTTTCCCCCTTTCTTGCTTGTGTAGCATTTCCCTTTTTTATGAATGCTAAAATCATATAATTAAAAGACAATATTTTGGCTGAAAGTTGTTCCTTTGTAATTTGAAAAGTTTGAAAAGATGCTCATAATTTTTTCATTGCTTGTCCTAATCCCTGTTGAGATTCTGCTAGGCCGTCGCAGTCCAAATATCTAGCCTAGCAGAATCTCAACAGGGATTATGCTTGTCCGAAATATACTTCTCTAATTAATGTACTTTTCCAAACAATACAAAATATTATTGATTGTGATCAGATTGATGAACTTGATTTATTTTTCTATGGTAGTCCTAATCATGGACTAGGTATGAATATTCAAATATTTGATGCAGTACAGGCATGAGGCGCCGTTTTGGTACTAGTTTTACTGGAAAAATGTGATATCACCTATTCGAATTGTTGATATCCCCATTTCATTTCCAGATTTTTATCAGAATTTTACCAGAACTAATTGTAGGTTTGAAAATATTTGAAGTCTTTAACAGAATAAATATGTGCACAAGATATGGTACATGCAAAAGGGAACTGAAGACGATTTCAATATTTGGTGTCTCCACTATCACTGATAAAATCAAAAAAAACTTTACAGTCCATGATTTTATAAAGAAAAGTGTTTTTTTTTTCGAGATACCATATCTCCATTGAGCATATTCTCTTTCAAAGTTTGAGTAGCCTTTGTTTGAGAGGCCATTTTAAAAAGGTATCGTTGGACTGCGTATCACTCTGATTAGGTGAATAGAATTCAGTATCACAAAGATATTGACGACTAGCTCTCAAGGCTTTTTGATTTACAATGAATTGCATGAAGACTTATATAGTAAAAGCCTGTGCTAATTGACGTTTACTGAGAATTTGCATAAAATCATTGAGTAGAAGGTTAGGGGGAGATAACTTGATTATCTATTATAGTAAGGATATGAAAATCTTGAGAGTATTGATCATTTCTCTAACGTAAGCTGCACATAATCATTTGTAAAAGAATTTTACCAGAGAACTAATTGTAGGTTTGTACATATTAGAAGAGTTAACAGATTAAATATGTGCACAAGATATGGTACATGCAAAAGGGAACTGAAGACGATTTCAATATTTCAAACTAGTCATTCGATAATAAAATTATCAATGCATAACTTTGTCGAAAGAGTCCTTCGACATAGTTCCTTGATTTGCATGAAAGAGAAATAGTCATTATATTAGTTAAATTTGAATGAAATATTTCATTCAATCTGTTCTTAATTTCCTTTCAATACACCAAATAAAAGAAGGTTTATAATCATATTTTCAATTCATTCTATTGCAACAAATTGACTACCCTTACCAAAGTAAAATTATTGCAGCAATATTACTGCTATATTGCGGCAACATTGCAGCAACACATTTTTGTCACCAGAAACAATTAAGCTTTTTGGGTTAGTGAAATATCACCGCTAGCTGCAACAACTTCTGGTGACATTCTGGCAATACTGCCAGAAAAAAAGACTTTCTGGCAGTATTGCCAGAATGTCACCAGAAGATCTAGGATTACCTATTAGGCATTTGTGAGCATGCTCAGTCATTTATCAGTCTTTTTAAATAAAATGGAGGGAATTCAAAGGTAAGCATGTTTTGCTTCATTATTGAATGGTATCAAGTTAATTGGAGTTGTTATTTGTGTACAATAGGATTATAGACATGATGACTAGTAAGACTGAATAATGTGGAATAGCCAGAAAAAAAGAATTTCAGCAGTTTCCATGGCATGACCTTTTGAAAGAATTTTAGGAATGTCTAACTCTGTTTTCATGGTATATATATCAGACTTGGTGAGTCAAAACCATATTCTTTTTTAGGTGAATGATTCTGTGGAGATAAAATAGGAAACATTATATTTATTTCAACTAGTGCTTGTGATGCATGTATACTATACTTGTATGTCTATATATATATATATCATACCATGATTGTTGCAGGAAAAGATGAATGCATGTTATCAATTAAATGCATGAACATGTATAATTAATTTATTGCATAAATTTGAATACCTGCAAGAAAATAATGATTCTATAGATATGTTAAAATTACAAACAAGCTACATATTATACATTATACTGATTGGCATTGGGGAATATGTGATGGGCAGCTAATTAAGGTTATTTGAAAAATAATGCAGTGTTGCTGGACATTTTCACAGTGGCATATTAATATTTTTTATATACACATTTTTTATGTGCCCGGATTGATAGATTGGGGATGCATATTGTTTTTGTCCTCTCTGTTTGTAAACTTTAACCTTCGCCATAAGTGATAACTTTTGAACCAATGAGAGGTAGAGACTTCATATTTGGTATGCATACTCCACTTATTAAGACCTTTTCAAATGACACCAAGGCCAATGACCTTGTGACCTTGACTGTGACCTATATGCTAAAAATAGCTTTTTTTTGAATATTCACCATAATTTAAGAACCATGAGAAAGAGAAACTATATATTTAGTATGCATACTCAACTAATTTAGGTCTTTAAAATTACACCAAGGTCTTTGACCTTGTTCCCTTGGCTATGACCCATAACTTATAAAGCTTAAAACAGATTTTTTTAACCTTCGATCGACATAACTTTTGAACCATGAAAGATGGAGACTTCATATTTGGTATGCATACTCCACTAATTAAGTTCTTTTAAATGATACCAAGGTCAATGACCTTGTGACTTTTTCTGTGACCTATATGCTAAAAAAAGCTTTTACTAACTTTCGCCATAACTTTTCAACCATAAGAGATAGAGACTTCATATTTGGTATGCATACTCCATTAATTAAAATCTTTCAAATGACACCAAGATCAATGACCTTGAGACCTTGACTGTGACTTATATGCTAAAAATGGTTTTTCAAACTTTGTTTCCGCTGGGGGCAGAGTGTTTCAAAAACACATCTTTTTTCAACAATTTTTTTCTTATCTTTCCAAAGAATAGCATAACCTTAAGTAGCTATTTCTTATTGACTCTGTAGCTTATTATGCTATTGATTTTTATGTTTCTCAGCACAGTTTGTTAATTGTTAGATTGATAGATCATTATTTCTATTAAATACCAATTTATATAGGTAGTACTGCAGTGTTGCCCCAATATTGCTGCAGCAAAACCTGAAATAATACATGTACTGCAATTGCTTTGCAGAAACATTGCCGAAGCACCTTTCTGGCAATATTGCCGCAAATCTAATTCACAAACGAAAAACGATATTGCTGCAATATACTGCCAGAATGTTGCTACAATACATACAATTGCCGCAACACTTTTCTGGCAATATTGCTGCAAATCTAATTTACATACAAAAAACGATATTACCGCAATATTGCTGCAATGTATTGCCAGAATGTTGCTGCAGTATTGCAGCAATAATGCCAGAAGATGATGCCAGAAGGTGAGTATTTTGGTAAGGGTAAGCTTATTTTGTTTGGATAACTTGCTAGGCACCACAATGTGTTGCAATGCTAGGCACCACAATGTGTTGCACTGCATTGCAGCAGAGTGCATTATGGTGCAGTTATACTTGTATTTCAACAAGCACAAATATTTTACTACTCAATGCTTTAGAAACATTCCCCACCATCCAGCCTCCAAAGTTACCCTTTATATACAATTTTCTCTTGCGGCTGATTCTAAGTGGCAAAATTTGCATAATATAAGTTTATTACAAAGTTCGATAATCAAATTATGCCCCTTTGAACAACGTAGACAAAACGATTATGCAAATGTTCAGGCAAAATTAACGAATAACAGGCTTGTATACTATATAAGACTAGAGAGTCACTCACTCATTAGCAATGTCGCATATTAAGTTAGGTCTTACAATATTTTAGTGAGTTTATCTCACTAAACAAGTACTGCTAACTGGCTAAGCGGTACAGAACAGCACCTTCGATTGTTCTACGGGGTATTTATTGAGCGCTTTGTTTGATTAAGTTTCAGACTGTTCACTCATTTGGCAAACAGGAAAAGTCGTTTTTTTTCTTAAAGTTGAATTTAATAAAAATAGACCATGTATGTTTTATGGAGACAGTACGTTAAGCAATTACAATGAGATGCATTGCAGTGTAATAATTTTATGTCAGAGCATTCAGTTTCTTTTCATAGATTTAAAAAAAAATTCTAAAAGGTTTTTCTTTTCAACCTTATCTGTAATTCAAAAAAAAAAGTAAAACAAAATTGCACTTATTAATCTTTGATTGACATTACATTGTGGTGCAATATAAGAGTAGGTAAATTCTTAATATTGAGATAAGAAGCATTAATATGTGTGCAAATAAAAATCAAATGACTCAACAGTCACATAGGAGTTCATTTCTTTCAAATATTTTTCGCGTACCCAAACTAGTCGCTCGATAAAAAATTATCAATACGTAGCTTTATCGAAAGAGTCCTCCCACATACATGTAGCTGCTGAAGTGTTAATTGAGATTTGTATGAAAGAGTACAGTCACATATAAATTAAATGTAA